AATTTCTTGAATTCTCATAGAGTCATTGGCTTCCATTTGTTCCATTCTAATTTTTAAGGAATTATTTTCTTCAGTGAGCTTTTGGACCTCCTTTTCCATTTGGGTTAGTCTATTTTTTAAGGTGTTATTTTCTTCAGTATTTTTTTGCGTCTCCTTTAGCAAGTTGTTGACTTGTTTTTCATGATTTTCTTGCATCACTTTCATTTCTCTTCCCAATTTTTTCTCTACTTCTCTTACTTGCTTCTCAAAATCCTTTTTGAGGTCTTCCATGGCCTGGGACTGATTCATATTTTTCTTGGAGGATTTGGATGTAGGAGCTTTGACTTTGTTGTCTTCTTCTGGTTGCATGTTTTGATCTTCTTTGTAATTACAGTAAGATTCTATGGTTTGAGGCTTTTTTCTTCTTTTTTTGTGCTGTTTGCTCATGTTCCCAGCCAATTACTTGACTTTTAAACTTTTTGTTAAGGTAAGGGGTCTGCTTCCAGTGTGGAGAATGTACTGTCCCAATCTTTAGGGGTTTTGTATAGCTGTTTTCAGAGGTACTTCTAGGGACCTGTAAATTTTCAGTTCTTCTGAGGTGGTGTGATCAAAAGCAGGTATTTACTCTTTTCCTGACCTGTGCTCTGGTCTGTGAGTGACCACATGCACTCTTTTCTGCCTTGGAACTGTGAGGAAGATTCCCTCTCCACTGCCACCACAAGCTCCACCACATTCTTCCTCACCCAGCACCACCACCCAAAACTGTGTCCCATATCCAAGTATGGGCAAAGCAAGAGAATCCTGCCTCAGCACCAGCAAAGAGATCCCTGCAATCCCCTTCTGATCAGCAGCTTGATCACCACACTGTCTGTGGGCTGAGAGCTGTGGAAGCAGCCCTGGGGCTGTGCCAGGACTAGGGCCAGATCACACTCCTCTCTCACCAAGGTCTGACAGACCTTTCCTCCTGACCTTCTAAGTTGTCTTTGGCGTTTGTGGGTTGAGAAATCTGGAAACTGTTACAACTGCTAGTGATTCAGTCCACTGAGGTCCGCTGTTCCAGGTTTGCTGAGGCCTGGTCTTTGCCTGCACAGGCCATGCTGAACTGCATTCCTCTCCCAGCCCAGGGCAACAGACCTTTCCCATTAACCATCCAGGTTGTCTTGGGCTGGAAATTTGTTTCACTCTTTCTGTGGGTTCTGCTGCTCTAGAATTTGTTTAGAGTCATTTTTTACAGGTATTTGGAGGGGTTTGGGGGAGAACTCACACATGTCACTGCTTTTACTCTGCGATCTTAGCTCTGCCCCTGCTTTTCTACTTTTACCTTTGAACCTTAGATTCCACTATCTCTAGGTAGTAGTTGAGGGGCTCTGGTCATACAGTTTAAGCTACAAGAGATTTCCTACAGTTTTAAGATGGCAATGCTCTGCTCAAGTCTGCCCAGATTTATAACTAAGTATCCAACTTCCTGAACAGGCAAATTTTAAACAAATACAATGAAGAGATGATGGACTTGGAATCGAGAAGACTTGAGTTCAAATCCTGTCTCAAACACTTAATTATCTGAGTGACCCTGGGCAAATAACTTTACCTGTCTTATCCTTAGTTTCTTCATCCGTAAAATGGGAATAGTAACAGAATCTACCTTACATAGTTTCTGTGAGACTCAAATGTGATAATGTATGTAAAGCACCTTGCAAATTTTAAAGCACTATATAGCTACTAAGCCATTATTATTTAATGTGTCTATTTATACTAATTATTGTTTTTTTACATTTAATAATTTAATACAAAGATTCTGATGACAATATGCTAATTTCACTTACTCTCAAACTTAACTTACTGTCAAACTTCTCTTGGCTTTAACTGCTATGTCAGTGCCATGATCTGGTTAACAGACTTCTATCGAAGCTAGCCAGGTCCTACTTCTTTCTCATTCCTCTAGTTCTACCCCTTTCCAAATCTGTAGTTCCCCTCTTCAACATCATGAGGCAGAAATTGCCAGGAAGGGGATGAGAGGCAGAAGAGAGATGCTTCTTCTCCTGGTGCCTTTAACTTCATTATTTGGTTTTGTTTGTCAACAACCAGGGGAAGGTTTTCCTCACTTTACTCTCAGAGGTTCCTAAAGTGGGTGATACTGCCCCTTGAGGGATGCTGGACTGATCGGGGGGGGGCAGTAATAGCCTCAGGGGCAATTGGGGGTATTAAATAAAAAAGGGGGCTATAGATGCATAAGGGAAGAAGAAAAGATAAAAAAATTTGAAAAACCATTTGTATATGTTTTTTCTGTTGTATAACAGAGTTAAAGTCATAGTAATTACATTATTTTCCAAATAAATACACAAAATGCAAGTTTTAACCAATCAGTGGTCAAGTCCACAGACAAGCAAGTGGTGGCAGGTGAACCTGTCCTGCACTGTTGGGAACTCCAGCATGCATCGGCAGGAATGTGTGCATACAATGACTTGTTTATAATATACTATACAGTTACATGACGCAATATTGCATCATCATTGCAAAATCAAAACTGTGTTGGAAAAACCCCACAATTTACAATAAATTATTAAATTTAAGATGCATCATTTAAAAATTATATATTTTTGAAATGATGTAATTTATTTTATTTTTAAAATTTTTTTTTAAAAAGATTAACTTATTTTTAGTTTTCAACATTCACTTCCACAAGATTTTGAGTTCCAAATTTTCTCCCCATCTGAAATGATGCAATTAAAAAAAAAATTAAAGGTTTAAAGAACATAGATTTCCAGGGGGGTACTGAGTAATTTATTTTTTGAAAAGGGGGCAGTAGGCCAAATAAGTTTGGGAACCTCTGCTCTAGGAGAAGAATGTAGCAGTTCTTCTCTCCCCTAATCCCACTTCTAGCTAGGGTTGTATTATATAGTTTAACCTATTTAATAATACTTGTTTAATTTTTTAAAAACAATTCTGCTAGGTTTTCTTAACAACACTTAGAAACTGGTTTCTTTTATAACTTGGTTCAGCCTAAAAGATTTCTTAAAGACCTCAGTATCAATCATAATACCTACTACAATGTCTTGCATACAGTAATTACTCAATGATTACCTGTTAATAACAATAATAATAGCTAACATTTATACAGCACTTACTCTGTGCCAGGCACTGTGCTATAAGCTCTTTATAATTATTTCATTTGATCCTCACAACAACACTGGAAGGTAGGTGTTATTATTATCCTCATTTTGAAGGGGAGGAAACTGAGGCAAACAAAGGTGAAGGGACTTACCCAGGGTCACAGAGCTAGTAAGTATCTGAGACTGGATTTGAACTCAGGTCTTCCTAACTACTGGCCCAGTGCTCTGACTGTACCACTTAGCTGCCTGTTAATTGAATGATTAAAGAGATAATAAACCTGAAAACAAAACTAAAACAGCAAATTACACAAGGAATAAGTTAATTTCATCACTACCAGGAAAAAAAAAACTCTTCAATTACATATCACATATCTTTCACATAAAATTTTTGATAATTCTCATTAGCCTTACACTGTGAGGTAGGAACTATATGGGTTTCTTTTTATTCCCATTTTACAGATTTGAAATTGAGGCTTAAAAAGGATAAGTGATTTGTACTCATGGTCACACATCCAGGGTCAGGATTTGAAGCCTGAGTCTTTTTGTTTCCAAGTGTGGCTATTTACCTATATGCAATGCTGTCTTTCTACACACTCACTCAGGTTGTACAGATATTGTTATTTAGAATGGTAGATTTTAATAATTCAAATGATAGTTTTAATTTTTTAAAAGCATTGCTACAAATAATTAAACATTATTAAAGATTTTTTCAGGTTGAATTTCCTCCAAGTAACTGAAAATTTAAGCTAGCAGCTATATTTCCTCCCCAAAATACACCTATAAATCATCTTCAAAGATGCTTTGATAATGTTAAACATATATTTTGAATATGGCATACAAGACAATTTACAATTTCTAAATTTACAATTACAATTCAAATTTAAAATTTCTTAATTAAGGTCAGTGAACTTATAACATGTCTAGGTTGATCAGAACCCTCTGAAAACAAAAATCCCCTTTTAAGCAATACTGTTTAGCTTGGCAATATTGTACAAAATCCTATTTTAAGCAATATTGTTGTAGATCCTTTTCTAGGTACTAAGCTGAAAGCTAGACAACTTATTTAAACTTCACAAAGAGTCTTTAAGGTACATGACATCTTGGGGACAGAGGAAGATTCTAGTGTCAGCTTTACACATAAAGAAACTTACAGAGGTTTCTTTATGCCCAAAGTTATAAGGCAAAATTCAATGACAGAGCCAATCTCGTCAACCTTTCATCACTACTAGCTTAAACACAGGAAGTTTCACTGCACCTACCAAATCTAGGAATAAAAATGCTTCTGATGTTTTACTGCTACAATAAGTATGGTGAAAAAATTATCTTAAAGAGCCACCAACCAGTCACAAAAGTTTTGAGTCCATTAGGCAACAATCATATTTTCAAGGCAGTTACTCTCTTTTTCTTGAGATGTTTGTAATGGATCTGTGTTATTTTAAAATCTAAACTGTTCTTGCTGATCATTCTTTACAAATTACAGCTTATAGCCAATTCCCTATCTGAAGTAATCACCATCATCCCTGGAAGACCACAACTGGTTATTCCAGAAAGAATCGTGACTTTGAGTAGGCATTCATATCTAGTATAGATGAGAGAAAGAAAAGCTTTGCATCTCAGAGTGTCATTCAATAAGGAATGGGAAAAGAACATACTATAGACAAGTATAAATTAAATTGTTTCTCAGTAACTGGGGCATGAGGAAATATACTCTTTAAATTGACAGCCCACAATGAATTTGGCGGGTGTACTCAACATATGTGGCTGAAAAAAATCCACCAAAATGCCAGGATGGGTCATAACAATGTATATACGTGGGCAACTACGTCACAATGCAGCAGCAACTTGAGAGCTGAAACAATTGGCAGATGTATATGACTAATCAGAGACTGATTTCTATTTCAGAGCCCTTACCAGTACTGTGATCCCTTGTTCTTTGCACAGCATAGCTACAGCACTCAAAAGAATACTCAGCAGCACCCAGAATGTAGAAAACTGAGCTCCTTCCTTGTTATCTGTCAATCAAGATAAATTATACAAGTTATTCAGTGCAGTTCAAAGATTTGTCACCATGAGGAATGATAAAAGAAACCCTAGACATTTACCTTGGGTAACTACTGTTCAAGAATCTCTGTCAGTCTTTGGAAGGCATGTGAAGTAGAAAGAACACTAAATCTGGAGTCAGGTGGTATCATCTTTCTACTTGTTACCTCTACGTCTTGGGGGCAAATCACTTCATACAATTAGGTCTAATTTCCTACTCTGTCAAATGAAGGGGTTTGATCACGAAGGTTTCTTCCAGGTTTACAGTCTAAGTTTCTTTCCCAGATTTTTATTTCTTAGTAGAAGCACTACACATAAGCATATACTTATTACATGTTATTCCCCTTCCACAATCCATGATCTGACTAAACTGGCTACCTTCGCTGCTCCTCGCACACTTTGCTCCATTTCCCATCACTGTGCCATTGTACAATAATGTTTTTCCCTCCTCCCCTCCACTTTATAAAGAATCTTCTATTTCCTTCAAGACTCAGCTTAAGTGTTATCTTCTATGCAAGGGGTTTCCTAATTCCTTTAATTGCTATTGTCTTCCTTGCCTAAACTGTCTTGTATTTATTTTGCATTTAACACACACACACACACACATACACACACGGAGGTTGTCTCCCACAATAGAATGTTACTGTCATTTTCGTCATCATATTTTTAATGCCTAAATGGTGCTTGACACATAGTAGATACTAAATAAACGATTGCTGATTGATACCCATAATTAACTAGAACTAACCCTCTTGTTAATGCTGATTTCTACTCCTCAGGTTTTCGTATTCATGTGCTCAGAAACATATTCAGGAAGCGAGCAAAAGTAGCCCTGGCAACAAAGTCTCCTTCACATGAGACTTGAAAGTTGGCAAATTGTCTCTTTCTAAGATATCAGTCACCCAACAGGTTATTCTGACATATCACATCAAGGAACTCCTACTGTGATCTCTGGGGGTCCATCTGGTATTAAGGCGACTCCTGTAGGAAGTTGTTCCTGCCACCATGATGGGAATGATAAGAATCTATCCTAAAGACCTGCAGAGCTGGCACCAGGGTTTCTCACCACTATTAGGGTGACTAGATGCATGGAGGTTTCAGGGGTAACTTCACAAAACTTTTTGGAGCAACTTTACACAGTGTATAAAGGGTTTTCTTTCCTCTCCCCTACAATCAGGACATCATCTAGGGACGGAAATGGATACTGAAGAAGACACTTCCTTTAAAGAGGGGGGTGGTCCCAGTCTCTGTAAATAGTATGTACAACCATGTACAGAAGTGGTGCTTATCAGAGAAATGTTAGATTCAGTATTATGTGTCTTATAATCCTGTGATGCCTTGCTATTGCAAAATGTACTAGGAATATCATATAGGCAAAAAAGACACATTTTTAGTTCTCTTACAGCTCTGTTCTAAATCTGAGGTGACCCAAGTAGCAAGAATACTATACTATCAGAGGAGGAAAAGAGTAGCTAAGTAATCAAGCAGTTTGAGTATGACAGGTACACAGAACACAGTGACAAAAAAGGCCTTGTGATGGCAGAAAAGAGATTGCCTTGAGATGGAATTTTTCAAGCCCAGTCCATTGTCTTCACAAAGCTCAGACATCCTGAATACTCAGAGAAGGCATTTTCAGCCTCCAAATTATGCTGTGTTTAACTGAGTTGAGATACTTTACCTAGTTGTATGATATAAATTTGTCCTCAATTGAGGACAAATACCCTGGACCCCACAATAATCAGGACTTTTCATAAACAAGAAACAGGATGTACTTTTGGAATTAGCTAGTGCCCACTAAAAGCCTGTAGCATAAAGTTACACACCTGGACTCAACAACATAGTTAACTTGCTCTGAACATGTTCTTAGTCACCAGCAGATCTTAATTCTAGGAAGCTGAACAGACTTGGTAGCTATGTTTGAACTAATATTCTTTTATATAAGCTAATATTCATCTCTCTGAGAGATTTCTATGTACCATAAAACTCCAAGGCTAGAAGTACACAGAAGACAGTAAGGAGAAGAAACATGTACATGTGGCTCTTAAAACTATTTATTTCAGGAATCATCATAAAGCCAACTTTTCCATAATTCCAGAAAAGCTTTAGCAGTTTGAGGTCAACATTTTCAAAATCTCTTATTTTTAAAAAATGGATATAATATTAAAGAGAATGAGAACTGAACCTGTGAGTTCATTGGTATAAGGAATTCCCAGGTAAGGAAATGCCATCTACTACTAAACATTGGCACCTCTTCTGCAAATTATTGTAGTCTTTTTTTTTTTTTTGGCTAGGCAATGGGGCTAAGCAACTTGCCCAGGGTCACACAGCTAGTAAGTGTTATGTGTCTGAGGCTGGATTTGAACTCAGGTCCTCCTGACTCCAAGGCCGGAGCTCTATCCACTGTGCCACCTAGCTGCCCCAAATTATTGTAGTCTTAAAGAACTGCCTTATACTCTGAAAGGTTAAGTGACTTGCCCAGAGTCATAACCAGTATCTATTAGGGACAGAATTTTAACTGAGCTCTTTTCTGGCTTTGAGGCCTGTCACCATGGCTCTCAGTAACAGAATGCGGGCATATGATGTAGTGGTGACATAATGTTCCAAAGTTTCCCTCATTATTTATGAAGATTAGATTGAGTGAAAATGATATAGGATCTGTGACTCATACTACGTAAGGATGACAAAACCTCCCACCCACGGCATAGATTTTTCCTTTGGCATACATGACAGATAGCTATCCATTTGCTGTTTGCATTCTTCCATTGTCAAGGAACTTTCGACTTCATAAAGCAAGTTATTCTATTCTTGGGGCAGCTAAGGGGTGCAGTGGATAGCATGCTGGCCCAGTCAGGAAGACTCCTCTTCTTGAGCTCAAATGTGACCTTAGACACTTACTAGCTGAGTGACCCTGGGCAAGTCACCCAACCCTGTTTGCCTCAGTTTCCTCATTTGTAAAATTAGGAAAACTGAAAAATGACTAAACAACAACACAATTCTATTTTTGGAGGTCTTTATATAATGGAGAGTTCATCCTAAAGCTAAAGTTTGCTTCTTAGAAACTTCCACTTACTGATTCTAGTTCTATCTTCTTGGGCAACCTAGAGTGTATGATTCTCTTTTTAAGAGATGGACTAAGAAATATCTGATGACAACTATCATGTATTCCAATTACAGAAAAATATAATTCTGATATCTCACTGTAGTCAGGAGGTAATCCAGTGTTCTCAAAGGCCATTTCAGTAGGGCACCATCGCTGGCAAATTCTATCAAGTTACAAAGATTTTGAGTAAGAACCCGCCTTGTCTTCAAAGTCCAGTATAGATAAATATAGAAAGACTTACCACCGGAAGAGCCCAGCTGTATTTTTTTTCCTTTCCCCCCCTTTTTTTTTTCTTTTTTTTTGCAAAATGACCCAAAAGTACGGCCTTGTGTCTCTGCATTATGTAGAGGTCTCTTTGCTTCCACATGGATAATGGCAGAGTGAGAAAAGGGGCAGAGTGTGCTAGGAATCATGAAGTTTTTAGACTATCTATAAACATTAATTTAAATGTTTTACTCTTGAATTTCAAGAGGGGCAGAGCCAAGATGGTGGAGTAAAGGCAGGGACTCACCTGAGTTCTCCCCCAAACTCCTCCAAATACTTTTAAAAATGACTCTATACAAATTCTAGAATAGCAGAACCCACAAAAAGACAAGAGTGAAACAAATTTCTAGCCCAAGACAACCTGGAAGGTCAACAGGAAAGGTCTGTTGCACCAGGCTAAGAGACAAGCACAGTCTAACACAGGCCATGCCAACACAAACTGGACCCTAGCAAATCTGGAGCAGGCCTCAGGGGACTGAATGACTGTCAGCATGGATTCCAGACTTCTCAGCCCACAAATGTCAAAGACAACTTAGAAGGTCAGTAGGAAAGGACTGTCAGATCTGGGTGAGACACGAGTGCAGTCCAGTCCTGACTCCAGCATAGCCCTGGCCCCAGTAAACCAGGAGCAGGCCTTAGAAGTGACTGAAGCAGCAGTAGCAACAGCTGCTCCTGGAGCTCTCAGCTCACAGATGGTAAGGCGATCGAAGAACTGGTCAGAAGGAGATTACAGGGATCTCTTTGCTGGCATTGAGGCAGGATTCTGTTGCCTTGCCCATACATATAGTCCTGGGGTGAGAAGCAGCACTAGCATAGCAGAGCTGTGGCAGCAGTGGAGAGGGGACCCTCCTCAGAGTCCCAGGGCAGAAAAGAGTGCTTGTTGTCACTCACAGACCAGAGCACAGGCAAAGGAGGGAAGTAAACACCTCTCCTTATATCATACCACCTTGGAAGAACTAAAAACTTACAGATCCCTAGAAGTATCTCTGAAAACACCTGCACAAAACCCCTGAAGCTTGGGACAGTTCGCACTTGCTACTGGAAGCAGAGCCCTTCCTTAACAAAGAGTTAAAAAGTCAAGTAATTGGCTGGGAAAATGAGCAAACAACGGGAAAAACTCTGACTACAGAAACTTACTTTGGTGACAAGGAAGAGCAAAACATACACTCAGAAGAAGACAACATCCAAAACCTCCAAGAAAAATATGAATTGGTCTCAGGCCATGGAAGAGCTCAAAAAGGATTTTGAAAATCAAGAGAAGTAGAGGAAAAATTGGGAAGAGAAATGAAAGTGATACAAGAAGATCACGAAAAATGTTAAAGGAGACCCAAAAAATACTGAAGAAAATAACACCTTAAAACATAGACTAGACCAAATGGCAAAAGAAGTCCAAAAAGCCAGTAAGGAGAAGAATGCCTTAAAAAGCAGAACTGGCCAAATAGAAAAGGAGGTCCAAAAACTCACTGAAGAAAATAATTCCTTAAAAATTAAAATGGAACAAATGGAAGCTAATGACTATGAGAAATCAAGAAATTATAAAACAAAACCAAAAGAATGAAAAAAAAGAAGACAATTTGAAATATCTCACTGGAAAAACAACTGACCTAG